AAGTGGCCAACGCTGGCTGAGGAATTCTGGGAGTTGAAGTCCACCCGTCTTAAAAGTGGCCAACGCTGGCTGAGGAATTCTGGGAGTTGAAGTCCACCCGTCTTAAAGTGGCCGACGCTGGGAGACCCCTGGTCAAGAGGGCCCAGAGGGGTCAGCGGGTGGGTGGTTCCCCCCCAGACCCCTTGGAAAAAGGTACTTTCCAGCTCTCCTTCCACTTCCAGCCCCCGCCCCCTTGTTAAGCCCACCACTCGTCTCCCTGGGCTAGTCCCTCTGTGGGTAACTCATTCGTGGCTCCCCCGGACTGGCCAAGGAGACGGCGTCCTCTCCGAAGCCTTCCGTCGGACACCAACCCGCTGGTCAACTCATAAAATATTTCTCGGGTCTTTTTTGAGAGTTGCCGTAACAGAAAGGGAGAGGGGAGCAATGCGGCAGCATGGAAACCGAAAGTGAATAGTTTTTCAAAGATAGTAACTAAGAGACGGAAGTTTCTGCCGTGCAAAGATTCGAACAGGAGAGCCCTGATGGATGACTCTGGGCTATGGAGGTATCCCATTGGAGAATAGGAATTACGATACACTCAAGAGGGTGAAGGGAAAGCCAGGGTCAAGGGTGACAATTGAACTATTGCGCCTCAGAGTTGGCTGCACCCTATCCCCGTCTCTTCGGGACGGTTTAGGTCCGTCGGGACCGTCCAGAGGCAAAGATATCAGCTGCAATTTCAGAGCTCCAGTATTGCATGCCGTAGCGTCTCGACGTCAGCTCCGCCCTCCCACCCTAGGCAGTGCTAGCATGTTAACTACCCATAAATCCTTTGGAAGTTTTGCTCGGTGATTTTAAATAGGGGGGGTCACTGCGGGAATTTCCCCCCTTTTTTTTCTTCAGCTGAAGTCTTGATTATTCAGAGTGGAAAAAAAAAAACACCTTTATTTAAATTCCACGGATTGCTCGATCAATCCACAGGTGAATATCAAACTCCTCCTCGCCACCAGCAGCCCGAAACAGCAATTGCACCCCTTGGCGGGGAGGGTTGGGGGGGAGGCAGGTGAGCCTTGGCAGGAAGAGGCCCCCCTCCCTTCCATAAAAGTCCAGGGCCCATCCTCCACGTCCCCGGCAGCGACAGGCATCAGCGGAGCACCAGGTCTGTCCATGGAGTGCAGTGTTTTACCGAAAGACGGCCGGGAGTCCTTCCGGGAAGTGTGTGTTCGCGGAGGGGGCTCTCCCCCAGCAGGGGGCAGCAGAGGCTCAGATGAAAAGGCCCCCTGGTGGAGGAAGAGGAGGGAAGATCAGGGGAGGGAAGATCAACGTGCTGGATCACCTCCCCATATACCCCCCATCCCCACCCCCAAGCCGGCCCTACCTGTCACTTCCAGGCTGGCTCCCGTGATATATCGGCTCTCGTCGGAAGCGAGGAAGGCACAGACGTCGGCCACATCTGGGGGAGGGGGGGGAAGAGGAGGAGGAGGAGGGGAGAATTCTGGGAGTTGAAGTCCACCCTTCTTAAAGTGGCCATTGCTGGCTGAGGAATTCTAGGAGTTGAAGTCCACAGGTCTTCAAAGCGGTCAAGGTTGGAGACCCCCTGGACTAGATGACCTCCAAGGTCTCCTCCCAACTCCCGATTTTCTTCGGCTCAGAGTTCAGCACCCTGGGTGGACCGAGAGGGAAGGGCGCCAGGCCTTTGGGACTCTTCTCCTTGCTGGGCCCTATGGACCATTCCAGCCCTCCTTTTGTGGGGGCGGGGGGAAAGGGAGGTTGAGGGGGGTGGCCGAGGCTGAGGGGGGCGGCCGAGGGCCTCCCCAGGCCCAGATTGTTAGGAATACGAGTCACCTAACGGGTATTTGGGTTAGAAATATATATAAACCAGGATAGACATATTAACGCTGCCTCTTTTAAGAGCATGCTTAAAAACCGCAATTGGGTGTAGTTACTCAAACGGCCACAAGATGGAGGCAGAGACCTGGGTTGTTTTAGTCTTAGTCTTTAATCTCAGAAGAGAGCCTGTCTCGGTCTCTGTTTCCTTCTGTTGGAAAGTATCGCCGTTCCTCCATTTTTTCCGAATTGACGGATATTTCTGGATTTAATGTCAGTCTGATACTGAATATTTTTTTGGACACTGGACTTCGTTATTGGATTATTCCTGGACTGAAAACTGACTGACTTACCTGTGAATGACTTTGGACTGCTTGTTTTTGAACTTTTGCTTAAACCTTTATTGGAAGTAAAAACCCACATTGACTGTACAGTGTATCCGTGCGCTGTGTGTGTGTGTATTATTCAAACACTCCTCTCAAATACGTCTCCCTGTACGCGCTCATTCTCCTAACGGGGAATTACCTCAACACAGATCACAAGGGGGGGGG